AAGTACAGGATAGTTCTAGAAAGTAGAGGGCGTGAGAATAGTCACGTGATCTCGATGACGCAACAATATTGTAATCGGTCATATTATATTTCAGAAAATAATAATCTAACGCTTGATCGTTTGACTCTAAGAACAAAACTGATTAATTATCACACCACTGATAAGTTTATGGATTTACAACACTAAAGTTCGGGCTTCGATTTCCCGCGAAGGACATACCAGCTAGCTCAATGTGTTTTTGCTCTAAAACAAAATACAAACACAACTGGTAAAAACGTGTGACAATTTTCACGTTTATGTGCCCAATGTGTAGCTTTGTGCTTAAACTCCAAATAAACAAACACGTTTATGTCCTTGAGACTGTTATTGTCGGCATGCTTAACGTATTTGCAACAATCTTTGTAATCGGAAACATTCAATTCGTAAGCAAAGGTACGTGTTGTTTCAATAGATTTCACTCTCCAAGAAACCCGTAACGTTCAGTGAAAACATCACCTTCTGAAGACCTACAAAAAAATGCTCAAAAGCAACTATTGCAAGTACCGGTTAATACCTGTTCTACAGTGGAGATCCCGAGATCTGAACGTTCTACACATACTTCGGTATTAAAAGTGTTCCTTAAGACTAGATTTTACCGTTAAGTTTCTGTTCATTTCGAAACTAAATCTTTACTCTCGAAACTTCATTACTTTATTCTCTCTAAATTGAAATACTAAATATTAGTGTTATGTCTAAGTGTTATATATCGTATGAATCCTATCTCTATTAGTGTTATGTCTAAGTGTTATATATCGCACGAATCCTATCTCTATTAATGTTGTGTCTAAGTGTTATACATCGCATGAATCCTATCTCTATTAGTGTTATGTCTAAGTGTTATGTTTCCCACGAATCATATCTCTATTAGTGTTATGTCTAAGTGTTATATATCGCACGAATCCTATCTCTATTAATGCTATCTCTAAGTGTTATATATCGCATGAATCCTATCTCTATTAATGTTATCTCTAAGTGTTATATATCGCATGAATCCTATCTCTATTAATGTTGTCTCTAAGTGTTATATATCGCATGAATCCTATCTCCAAGTTGGAAAAAGCTTCCAGTTTCATCTTTTACTCTTTAGAATTTCTATGAGATTTAACAATTATGACCAATTTTTCATTTTATTGGAAGGTAGGTACGTCCTGTATATCATGCGCCCTCCTGTAATTTAACTGTCCAGAGAATAAATGTTAATAGTTATTTAAAGCTGGTAGTTAAAATGTAAGTGAAGGTTCTTTGAATTTTTTGTTAATGGAAGGTATTCACAGACATATTATAAGCTATTTGAAATAAAAAAAAGATGCTTTACCTCTACAAAATTGAGTTAAAATAACACCGTACATAATTTCAAGTTGTTTTTTCTTCATTAAAGATGGTGTTACCATAGTTGACAAGGATTACCTGAAAAATAGAAAAGTATTTGGTCAAGTTATCGCCACATTTCGTTATGGGAGAGAAGAAGATGAGGTAATGGGTTTACATTTCTTCAAAGAACTCTATCTGGTATCAGAACAAATTTACCCACTCCCCGATGAAAGTAAAGGAAGCACACTGACCAATCTACAAGAACGACTACTGAAGAAGCTTGGCCCTAATGCATTTCCATTCCAGTTTCAGGTAATAAAACAACAAAAAACAATATATATATATATATAAAACTTAAACTTTAAAATTAAGACTTCCTGAAGTTCACCCTTTTTTTATAGTCTAAAGACACTTGTATTCGAGCACGTATCAAAATAATTTAATATCTTTTCAACTTCTGTCATTGATTTATACAGCTTGTTATTAAAGGTCAGGCTTAGTGTTTTTTACATTTGTCTTTTTCTTGTTTTTCGGTTTCTGATCAGCATCTCGTACTTCTTAAATCAAAAGGCACATTTTGCACAACCTTGCATTTTTTGTTTCCAATATTTACACGTTAATTTTATATCTATTTAGTCTAACTAAATCAATTTACTCTTCGTTTATTGTTTGTTTTAGTGCTAAATCACTTATTTGTCGTCTATTTGTCTACTTTTTTTTTAAACCATATTATCAAAACCTTTTCTAATACTAATGCCCCCAGTGGCAAAGCGGTATGTCTGCGCACTTACAACCCTAGAATCCGAGTTTCGAAACCTGTGGTGGGCAGAACACAGATAGCCCATTGTGTAGCTTTTTGCTTAATTACAAACAAAGAATGCTAATATAAATTTTAATATAAATGAGCTTTATATTTATAAGCTTTTCATGCCATTGTTAAAGCTCTCATGCCAAAGTAATTTCAATTCTTATAAATATTGCTCAGAGGAAAATTTTTTTGCTTAACTTAGCCCAGCCTTAAAACTATTTAAAATAAGTAATTTATCATGTTTATAGACTTAATCACGCTTTATAAAAATGATTTGCAAATGTTCATACAATGGCGTGCCGGAGCTGTTGCGAGGATTAGAATCACGGTGATATACTTAATATCTATATATCAGCTTCGCAAAGACATCTCAACCATTCGACAGTGCAATGATGACACACATAGATTTAACACTAGATAAGTTTGCCACAGCCCTGTCCGCGGAAGGATTCACACATAGCGATATCGCTGAATGATGTAGAGCCAAGGACGCAATATTTCGAAAAATAGAGACTTCTATGTTCTCCCTGGAAGTGGAAAAATACTATATGGAAAAGCATTTAGAAGATCAATTAGCTCCGAAATCATACAGAAACCAAATCGGGTCAATGCCCTCACCTGTAAGGTGAAGGCTGTGGTTGCGAAAGAGAACGCTCCGAACCAAAAATATACATTATGATGAAACTGAGAATATCTCTTGATTTTGTTAACAAAGTTATAAACAAGAGTTTTAAAGGTCACAAAGGTTCATGAGCCAAACCTTCGCAGGTTCCAGCCACACCTCGAAATCGTGATAAAGATTAACGAAGAAACTGGAATTACAGCTATACCGTTCGATCGCCTGTCTGCCAACTTATCTAATGCAAGTCCAATAAATCTACTTGTCTTTTCAAGTGCTTAAACGTGGTCTTAGTAACTTGTGAATGATCTGTAAAAAAGCTGTTAAGGTATTTGGTTTACAACTGACTACACTGTCATTCACAGAAGCTTTTAACTGAGCTCGATCAGCTATGAACAAAGTAATTCCAAAGGCAGCAGGGTTTGTTTTTGGATTTCGTGCAAAGCAACACGAAGGCTATATGCGCTAGCCGTCCCTAATTTAGCAGTGTTAGACTAGAGGGTCATCACCACCCACCGCCAACTCTTGGACTACTCTTTTACCAACGAATAGTGGGATTGACCGTTAGATTATAACGCCCCCACGACTGAAAGGGCGAGTATGTTTGATGTGACGGGGATTCGAACCCGCGACCCTCAGATTGCGATTCGAGCGTCCTAGCCACCTGGCCAGTGTACATGAAGAAACATTGATGCTACTGAGAAAAATTGTTACTCTAAGGTAATTTTTGTAAGAGTATGTCGAGGAATTTGAGTAGGAGAGTGATGTTTGTTTATACACAAATGTAAATCACCGTAAAATGTGCTTACGTATTACTGATTTATTTTTCCTCAAAGGTAAACATAAAGGTTTTATATATGAAACGGGTCAAAATATTTATGTATTCTGATTAACAGATTTCTTCAAATGCTCCAAATTCAGTTACGCTCCAGCCAGCCTCGGATGAAAGTGGAGCTCCCTGTGGGGTTTCTTATGACATAAAAATTTTTGTTGGCGATTCTATAGAAGACAAAAGTCATAAAAGGTAACATTCTTTTTCATGTGCTCAAATACCCGTTCTTGTTTAGTCCCATAAAAATAATGGATGTTTAATGAAATACCTGTGTTGATTAAAAGTTGGGGAACGAAGGTGTAACTTACCAAATATGTTGTTTAATGATTAATTTTATTTTAGTCCATCTCTAGCTATACTCTATATTAACGTTTGATATAACAACAAGTGCTTTTATTATTCAATCTACATGAGATAATGGAATTTCAGCATAAAAATATACTTGCTTATATATATATTTTTAAATATAATTTTTATTTAACCAAGAAATATGATATTGTTAGGTTGAGGCTTTACTTCACCACTTGCTGAGATTTGTGTAAAATATAACATGATTGCACTTCTTTGACCGGTCAATGCAAATAAGGGGTTCTCCTTTAAATCATAAAACCTGACGAAAGTTTATTTGTTCTGTTTTTAGATGAGTGCAAGCTTCTTTAAAAATTTAAATGTTTTTAACTCCGAAGACCAACTTTAATATGTATATATATTTAAGGATAAAGTATTCCCTGTTTATATCATTATCTCTAATTTCGACAACATTTACAGTTACTTAGAAACATAAAGTACGATCACTGTAACATCCATTTTCTGATGTTACTCTGTAGAAGCACTCTAAAGATGGGGATCCAGAAGATTCAGTGGGCTCCAACTACTCCAGGTCAACAACCCTGTAGCATTATCAGGAAGGATTTTTTGCTAAGTCCCGGAGAGCTGGAATTAGAAGTAACACTGGAGCGACAAGTATTTCATCACAATAACCCTATTGTTGTTAACATGTTCGTGAGGAACTTCTGCAACAAAACCGTCAAACGGATCCGAGTCTCAGGTTTGATTTAAACTTATATTCCTAATCAAAGAGTATTCATTTTAGTCAAGTTTGTTTGTTTTTCAATGAACAATAACAAATAATTAACGGAAAGTTTGTGTAAAGTGTAAAGACCACTAGTCTTCAGTAAAATATTCTAATTTGAATCGCTACTCAGTTCACGCAGTCGTTTTAAGTTAAACCAATAGTTTAGCTATAGATGAAGTGACTTTGTAAGATATTGTATTTCGATTTTAGTGTTATAAACAGAATATTTCAATTTATCGTTATTATCTTTCTCACTGTTTTAACTAGAACAATGCTCTCTTTGTAAGGTAAATGCTCCAAATGGAAAACTAAATATTTAAAAGTAGTATAATCACGGCTGAAACGAAAACACAAACTGATTCGCTCTACCCTAGAAACACCTCACAAAACAACTGTATTATTCATTTTAAATACTTCAGCGAACTTCGTATGTATAATCTACACTTAAATTTACTAGAAAATCTGACGTCAAAATTTTTAGAAGTTTCTAGACCTACATCATTAAACTTTCGATCTTAACCTTTTCATTGCGACCCGCAAGAAAAAAAAAATCAACATTAAAAATACAGCCTGCAACAGTTTGTTAGCTAAATGAATGTTTTGTTAGTGTTGATTACCATAAAATTTTTCCTTATAGCTGTCCAAAACATCGACATATGTATGTTCGCTAGTGGTCACTACAGAGTGACTGTTGCCTGCATTGATACACAGTAAGTATACTCGTATCAGAAAGTTCATTGATGAACAATATTATTAGAACTCTGTATTCATTGTTCTTTATCATCATTACTTTAATAAAATACTGTTACTGTTAATATTAACTATATAATATTAATATATTTGAAGCCATATGTTATCTATAGAAATATTTTGATCAATTGGATTTTTCAAATATCATATATAACCCTATATCCCAATGATAGTAATTTTGTTTCTTTTAAATGAATAAAAGTAGGCATGTCAAATTTTACTGAAAGTTTTTAATGTGAATAAAGAACTTCGTTTAGATGAAATAAACAAATATATATTTACTTAATTTAATAATAATAAGTTAAGTTTATAGATAAAAGTTAAAAAAGGGTAAAAAATTACAAATTGAGCTTCTATTAGGTGTTTTAGCATATATAACGCTAGCTCTACATTGCAGGGAAGGATGCCCCATCAATCCTGGTTCTACCCTTCAGAAGGTGGTAGAATTATGTCCCTGTCTGGAGTACAACCGGGGCAAGAGGGGAGTAGCATGTGAGGGACAATTGAAAAAGGTGGACTCCAGATTGGCTTCTACCACGCTGTAAGGCTCTTTTTAATTATAAATAAAGAACATATAACGATAAGAAGACTAATTTCAAATGACTGTTGTTTTATTAAGGTTTTACAAACCGTTTTGTGTGTCTAATGAGTATTATAACATTTGAAAAAAAAAAAAGAACTCCCGCCCGCATACTAACTCTTTTTAATGCCTCCCCCAGGTGCCAAGGAGCGTCGTTACACTATATTTTGTTGCATATTAAAAGTAAATTCAATCCGGAAACTCCCAAAGAAGATGGTTTTGGACGTATCTTTTGGAGACAAGTTTTCGTTTGTTAAATGATAATCTTTAAAGTGAAATATAGCATTCTCAAGTCTCCATACTAGCTAATACTAAAGTCTACCCGCTGGGAGTAAATTCAGTATATATCAATAAAGCCGAATTCTCAGTATCATTAATTTAGCAATTGCCGACATTTTTTTATGCTTCTGCTATCACCTTTTTACGTTTAGCTTTCAATTTAGATACGAAGGATTTCACCTGCGATTCGGGAGGGAATGTCGAAGCATCATCATAGTCAACAGTAGGATGAGCAGACAGGAACACTTTGAAAGCAGCTACAGGCATAATTTATACTCGACTTGATGCACAATATCTACCAAGGAGGTTCTAAACGGTTCTGTGCGTGTCATTTGGAGACTTCCATGCTTCTTGTGCTTGACGGTTAAGCTCGTGATGCGTTGATGGATGTTAATCACCTTACCACTTCAAATCACTTTTCGCAGCCCCAAAGCTAAATGAGTGCTGGAAATGCCTTCTTTTTAGACAATAAAAATGTACAAAAAATATTAGTTCAAATTAAGAAAAACCGGATTGGGTAAAGTTTTTTTTTCAACAAAAATGTCCCCATTGGCTCGAGTCATCTTAAATTATTTCAGTTACAAGTTCAATAAAATCAATCGTAATCAGATCCGTTGAGAAGGATAAAATAAACACGATGTATAACAGCACAATGATTTAAATTCAGAAGTAGCATTCACTTTGGGATAATATTAACAGACTATCTAGTAAGATTCATATATAACAGAACGATGATGCATTTTAATTGGGTGGAATATATTTCACTTTCCCAGCTTATTTATGATTAATTTCTGTTTTTTTAGCATACATTTTGACCATTTTTTCCGACTAGGCTGTGTTATAATCTTATAAATGGAATTCCCAAGAACTTTATATAAAATAGTTATGTGACATTGCCGTAGAAAGCAATTTTTGAGTGGTCAGGCCATTGCCACAACTAAACAGTGTCACATGATGTGTGAAAAGCATGCCATTTTTAGGGTGATCTGGGGACATACCCCCAGAAAAGTTTTGTTTGATGCTATGAGACTAAATCTTGAGCTATTTTAATTACAAATACTGCATACACACAACGTAATGTATTGAATTAAAAGAAGCAAGTTTTAATACATAAGTTGTAGCTATACATGCCATTTGAAAGTGGTCAGGCCATGGCTTGACTGATCTTACCGCTTTCTACGGCCCTGTGTAAGTTATGAACGTAAAAGTTTGTTTATCTTCGTAAACTTTGTTATATCCTAAACATCAGAATATCAATATCGTTAAATTCTACAGGTTAGCGGATCAAGAGCAGCGAGACGTATTTGGTATTGTTGTGTCTTACAGTATCAAGGTTAAGTTATTCTTGGGTGCTTTGGGAGGGTAAGTACCGTTTATTATACATACGATTCAGTTCGTAAGTATTTGACACTCTTACACTATCATAGATTAAGTTTTCTTTAGAGTGGGGAGCACTTAGTTTCAAATATTTAGCATCATGGTGTGATGCAATATCATAATTTAGCTTTTCTTTGGAACTTTAAAGAGTTAAACGTGTTTATAGCCAACACTAGTAACTATTTGGTATAGCGATATCTTACATATAACTTTTAGAAAAAGAGCTGCGGAAAAACAAGAGTAAGGCGATTATTTGTGGGCACTGTAGGAAAATAACTGTGTGACCCTTACGTTGTTTGCCCCGGGGAAGCATTTTTTCTTCTTACAACGAAAACTTTAACAATTAGATCTCTTCCAGTTTTATTATATGTAACACTGCTTTTTCTTTTTCGAATTCTTTTGGCACCTGTGCTGTCTATCTTCCTTGTGTTAGTAGGTTAACACTATTTAATATTTTTGTGTCTGTGTATTTTCTAAGAATCGTGTGATTTCATATTGACCGAGCTCCTGTTAATATCTTTGTTTTGTTTTTTCTCGCCTTTGCAAAGTTCCCCAACCAAGTTACTAGGCACCATTACTTATTAGTTGGTGGACATCAATTTATTTATAGATTTGATACTTCCTACTGCAGGTGTGTTGAATGTACTGATCACCTTAAAAAAATAGGAATCTTCTTTTAAATTTTGGTCCTAGTTAGTTTTATTATAATCTTTGAAGAAAAAAATTGAGGGTTTCTATTTTCTCGTTTTTGCTATGTGTCGTCATTTGAATAAATTTCTCTTGTTTATCTGTCTATTGTCCTATAGTAATTACTAATCATACTATACTAATACATAATTCTAAAAAATTAAAAAAAAGTGAACATTTATTAAAAAAGTATTTTTTCTGGTAAGTACTGCACCGGAAAAGTGTTCGGATTGTGATCTTTAGTAATACGCAACTTACTGCATCAAAATGATTCAATGTACATAGCTCAAAATGTTCATTAATTTTTACTGTAATGTTTTTATATATTAAAAGTGCTAGCCTTTATTCAAAAAATTATAGTTTTTTAAGAATTCCAGTGTTTTAGTATTACGCTTAAAAATGACATCACTAAAGATATTATCAAACCCTCACATTCAGTCTTAGTGAAAGTTGTGTTCGTGTTGTGTGGGTGAGTAGTTTTATTTAAAATTGTGTTCTGTGATAAAGAAATGGTTGCTGCACATACTACAGTTATTTTTCAAATTGTTTGAAAATATTGAATACACAGTGTGGGAATTTTTTTATGGATGTTTGTTTGTGGTACTATTCAATAGATAACGCCACATTTCATAAGTATTAATAACCACTCCTGGCATTGAGATCTTGTTGTATTTTAGCACATTTTTGGTTTTCCCATCTTAAATGCTTTTCTTTGGATCCTCTTCTTATAAGTTTAAAAGAATACAGAAAAGTCTTTAAACAATATTATCAATATGTTGATGTTTAAAGACTATTCTGTAATTCTGGGGTACATACATAGATACTGACATACACGCTATGTTCATTGTAGTAAGATTTCACTAAGTTTTGAGTTGCAGAATGTTTCTGAAGCTAGACTATTCTGTTTATCTTTTGTGTCAAAGTGAGTGTGTCAGAAAATCTGTTCATCTTACCATCCCTCTCTAAGAGTGCACTTATTTAATTTAGCATTTTGAAGTAAGTACAAAATATGAGCCTTTATTTCTGCTTCTCGAACTCTATTTGTATCGTGGAAGATACCTTAGAAAAACTACTTATATGTTTGATACATCCTGCTTATATTTAGCATCTTTGAAGAACATAATTCCTTTTCTTTTGGAAAGAATTATCACAAAGAAACACAGTGCTAAAACTTTTATGGGAAGCTCCAGTGAAGTATGACGTCTCTTATCTCCACCCACAGCCAGTCCCCAGTAAGTTTACAGATTTACAACGCTAAATTCCGGGATTTGATTTCCTGTAATGGATAAAGCGTAAATAGCCAATTATGTAATTTTATGCTAAAACAACAACAACAACAACAACAACAAACAACAAAAAAAAAGCACCCGTTATTGTGGCTCTAGAATATGCCTGTATCTTGTATTATTTTAGCAAGATATGTAGGTGATTTTTCTATTTATTAATTTTGTATTTTTATTGCTAATCACAGGGAGGTGGTAGCCGAATTACCG